CGATTGTTTCCAAACGTTTTGTGTGATTACTACAGTACTGTAACATTTAAAAGCAAACACAAAATGTTGTATTTACGTTTAAAATGGCCTAGGTGGGGATTCGGTGTTAGTTGAGCAAGTAACGAGAGTTCAGTCAAAAAGTTTCGTAGTGAAATTCTGGATATAATCCTTACATCCATATTTTTGGACTCATAAAACCCATCAAAAGGATCATATTTACATACGGACATTGCAAGTTAGCTCAGAAATACGTTCCAAAAGTAGTTATTCTAAATCCCAAAACAAAAGAAAACAAAAAAAAAACAGTTTGAATCAAGCCCTTGAGGCGCAAAGGAAACTACCATATTACAGCAGCGCAGTACCGTTTTGCCAACCAAAAAGTATCAATGAGTTCCAAGGTCTTGAGCTCGTGGTAGTTTTGTTTAGTCAATCAGTCTTTCCAGTTCCCCACGCGAGAAAGCTGTCCTGTGATCCAAATTCCTAAACAGGGACATAACAAAACCCATTTGGCTTTTGTACCTTATAGCATTCAAACAAGTTTAAGAGAAGAAAGGGATCTAAATTTACCAGCTGGCTCAGACGAAACTCAGGTGGAGTATCAAGCTCTATGTTGGAGGGATCAAGAACGATTTTCTGACATTCCTCCAGATCACGTTTGAAGTCTTCTGTTCCTAGATCTGCGTAATCCGCAAAACATGGTTGTTTATTCTTTAAGCTTCCACTGTTTGGGTTTTCTTCCCTGTCCTGTGATCCCACTTGCAAGAAATCATCGCAAAGAGACAAGGCTTCCACAAGCTGTTGCGAGTTCAAGATAAACTGAGATTCATTGTCAAACCAAGTCGGCTCTTCCTCAGCTTGGTTTTCATCGTCTCTATCCTTCTCTTGCTCCTCTTTATCATCTATCATTTCTTTTGCTCCGTTTTCAAGTCCGGTCTCGGGCTCGGGCTCAAGCTCAGGCTCAGGCTCATATTCAGAACTTAGTCTTTCATGATTAGCTTGAATACTCTGAACCTCATCTTCCATATACATTACCTCAGATGTCTTAGGTACCGGAAACAAAGGAAAAAGTGTCAGTTAGTGCAATATCTCCTTTATTCACTTCATCAAGAGCTTATACTTGATTAATGAGTGAATCTCCACCCTTGACCCAAATCTCAAACCTAAACCATAGAATAATCCTGAACACACAACTCTCCCTGCCTAAACTTCCATTTCATTAGTTAACTCTGTAGCTAACCAACTCAACAATAGTTACTGAACAGTCACCACAGCTATAATCCAGTACAAACCACCTACGGTAATCACACTGCTCTTGCACTAGGCTACCAGTACCACAAGGACTTATCAATAGAAAGCAAATACAAAGATTTTTACCTCGGCAAGAGAAACCTCATGGGCAGTTACATAGTCATGGGGAGTAACATAGTCACTGGCAATGTGAGAATCAGAGCAAATTCGCACAGCATGTCGAGGCTCAGGTGTGGCTAATTTTGGAGTGACAGGATCCGCTTTTGGAGTCATTGCAGCAAAGATATCCTCAGAGACATCCTGGTCAACTTTATCACCTTGCTTGACTACTAGCTGCTGTGGCTGCTGGTAGAATATCTTAGAAACAACATAATCACCTTCCTTCTCGTCTTCTTCAATTCCCAAGTGATATTGGTGCATCACCCAGTTCGTTTTCACAGCTTTTCCGCCATAGAGAACCATAATTTTCTTGCAACCTCTTTGAACACCATCCAACACAACCGGTTTCGTTCTTCCTGTCTTATGCCAGCGCACATCGCCAAAATCATCGTCGTGAATCTTTCTACGCTTTCGAGTTCCTGTGCTATAAGCTTTGATTGCTTTATGGAAGAAGTGGGACACCGTTCCATCGTTCTTAACACCTAAAATGTTTCAATGTAAGAGAGATACAATAAATTTCGGAACTTCTTTGATTACTGAAAACAGAAAGAAGAAACCTGTATTGCCTAACCTGGCAAATTCTTAGGATGAGTGTAACAGATTCCATCATCTTGATTGACGGTTGGGATGAACTCATCAATGAAAGGGTGGGAACTTAACCCTGACAAACCAGATTTGGCTAGCAAATGCCATATGATCTCTGGATCAGATGGATCAAATTTCACACCTCGAGGCAATCCCGGCCAATCATCAACAACCTGAAAATGTAAAAAAAAACTTGTGTTTACAACAACATAGAAATATAATATCAGAGACTAGACATCAAATGAAACGAAAGAGCAGACATACATCACTGTTGTCAATGACGTGTTGACAGTTGGGACAATGTCTTGTAGGATTGCTCTTCCACACCACTTGGCGCGGGTCGGAACTAGCCGATGCACACATAATCTTTGTTGCAATCCGGTTGCTATCGATCAGCCATGATCGTCTGCATACAGCAAGAAAACCATCCATTAGTCAAGACACTAGTTCCATATATATTCTACACAAAGCAGAACTATCAGAAAGATGATTTCAAACTCATAGATCTAAAGTTCAGAATCAGTTTCCAGTGACATTCCCAAATACAGGTTAAGAAAACGTGGTCACATAGAAACAAAACTAAAAAGCCAGTTTCTTGAAAGACCAAACATGTTGTCTGCAGAATACTTGTGTCTGTTGTCCTCACGAAACAAATAGGAACTGAAAGATGGAATCTGTTCCACCATACAAAACCAAGGATATCTATCTACTTGGATAAATTGCAAACAACTAAGTTTGATACATGTAAATGCTATAAGAAAGCGAATGATTCACGAAATTGAAGCTCTTTTCTGGGAGAAAAAAGCATCATAGGAATGGAAACTTGAAAAACCCCAACCTAGCAGTGAAAGACCCAAATGCAGATTTTCAAATTAACCCCCTTTCGCGCTTAACTCAATTTTGATATACAATCAAACGCAGAGAAAAAAAAGATTCAAACTTTAGTTTCTCTTTCGAAATTGCAATCGGCAGGAATCGTACTTAGGGTTTAGAGTCTCAACTAAAAACTCCATGACATAGTCAAAATCCAGAACATTTGGAAGAAAAGAGGTGCTTACCCAGCCATTAGAGCTCGATGAAGTAAAGATTAGAGCAAAGGAGAAGTAGAATCCGAGAAAAAAAAAACCCTAGACAAGTCTCTCTTTCTCTCTCGGCGCTAACAAAAAGTAAAATTGACAGTATTTCAAAGTAAGGATATTCTCAAAACTCGAGTCCAAATACTGTTTGCTTAGGTACGAAATAAAGTTTTATCTTTTAATTTTTTTATTTATTTTGGGGGAGAGAAAAGAAAAGGGAAAGATTTTGGGAGACAATAAAAACTCGTCCCGAAATAACTGGGAAGTGGAGAAGAAGAAGAGAGAGGCGCCAGTTTATGTTTTTTTTTCGAAGTGTGAGGTTTTTTATTGGGTGTGACTCGGTTTTTCGCATACATACGACGACTTTTCATTGACTTCCATCGTAGCACTCTTTTCGTGTAGATCAACGGTTGTGATGATAACTTCGATGGGTCTAATTATTTAATTAAGTATACTTTTATATTTAATAATACAGAGATTAGGATGGCTGGATGCTATTATGCGACAATATTTGGTGCACTTTCTAGAGACTGAATTAAATTAGTATTTATCAGAAAGAAAAAAAAAAGAAGCAAAAAAAAAAAAAACACTAGTGTTTACCATCATCATCATTATCTCCTCATGTGCTTTTCACATACTTTTGCCATTGAATATTGATCCCAAAATCTCTTATGACATTCATGCTTTAAAGACAAGAAAACATGGTTTTCCCGACTACATAAGTAGTCGCCAAAATTTACGACTACATAGCGACTATTCGGCGACTATTTTACGACTACAAATATTTAGTCGTCTATTAGTCGCTTTTTTACGACCAAAGACAGTAGTCGGTAATTTAGTCGTAATTTAGCGACTATTTTATGACTACATTGCATACAAAAACTAATAGACGCAAAATAGTCGTTAATTTGGTGACTAATAAACACGTGTTAACCGTTTTGGTGTTGGTATACCGGTTTTATGCGACTACAAAGCGTAGTCGCCATTTGGTAGCTTTGTAGTCGCTATTTAGTCGCCATAAATATCTATACAATCAAAATTCACCCATTTCTCTAAACCTAAAACACAAAACTCTAAATCTCTAAACTCAAAAAACTATCTACTTAGTATAATATATCCAAAAACTGAGGTCTAATACTTAAAAAAAATTATAGTTTTCAAAATCTTATTTGTTTTAATCAAAATTTAACCCCAAATTTTAAACCTAAATCCCAAACCCTATACTTCAAACCCTAAACCTTAAATTTTTAACTCTTGTAATGTATATATATATAAAAATTAAATCGTAAACCATTCAACCAAAATATAACCATTATTGTATAATAATAAAAAAATATGTAAAACTATTTATTATTTACATATAAATTAATCTTTCCAAAAACTATTTAGTTATAAATATATGATGTTAATTAATAGTTTTGAAATTTCTTTAAACAGAATTTGAACCCTAAAATAAACTCTAAACCTTAAATCTTTAAACTTTTAATCATATAAATTAAATCATAAACCACAAAATCAAAATAAAACCATTTTAAACTATATACAAATATTTTGTTTAAATTTATTCACTTTTTAAATTATAAATCACAATATACCTCTAAACGAATAATGTAACCGACAAAAAAAAAACGGATGATGTAACTATTATATATATAATGTTTTGAATTTATAAATCTGAAAATTGCGAATTTGTTTTAAAGTGTTTGATTTAATTTTTTAAAAGTCCCATAATATGTTTATATTCAAAACTGAAATTAAACACTTAAAAATATCAAAATTTTCAGATTTAAAAATATAAATGATTTTAAATCTAAATCATATCTAATACTTTACAAATCTTAAACCCCTACATCTAAATTATAACATAAAAACTATAGTACAATAACAAAATTTATCAAAAAAAAAAAGAGAAAAGCCTCTCATTGGTTGATCCTAAATGACAAGGATTCCCTTTGGTTTATCATCAACCGTTGATAGAGTCAATCCAATGGACATAATCCTCTAATTATTTTCCTTTCTTTTTTCCTCCTCTCCTCATCTTGTCTTTCCTTTCCACGCAAATCACTTCTTTTTTCTTTTCTGTTTTTCTTCTCTTCTCTCGTTGTCTCCTTCTTCTTTTCGTCAAGTTGAAGAAAAATTGCAAAGCCCAGAAGATTAATCGATGAGTTCTAGAAGGTATGTTTCATGAATTCATCAGATCGCTAGATTTCCCAACACATCGTTATTCAAATATGGAGATAGATCTGGGGAAGTTTGATAATTAAATAGGTTTCATCGCAGATCTGTGTCAATGACGAGGCCGAACATCGACGGACGCACATGACTGCCACGGCGACACCACTACTTAGCCGAGAGACGCCGTTAAAGTACTAAGGAGACAGAAAAATAAATCCGGCGACGGAAGAGTTCTAAGGAGACGGTGGCGGAGCAAAAGGCTTGTACCGCGGGTGGAGTGCCGGTTCTAACCCTCCACCGGTTAGGTTGCAGCCGGCAACTGGACTCGTCGGCAAACGAAATCCGGCTGAAGACACGGGCGGCGGCTGAAGACTGAAGCGGCGGCTAAAGACTGTTATGTGTGATTAGGGTTTTTTTTTGTGTTTTTAGCATCCGGTTCAACCGGGGTTTTGTAATTGATTCAATTTGGTAACTCTTAACCATTCCCGGTTTGGGTTCTTTATTAATACAAATATATTTATTAATTAAAAAAAAATCTTTTCACGAAATCTATAAATATATATATATATATGAATAAAAAAAATTTATTTTTATTTTGTTTGATTTGTATAAATAAGATCACAGTCGTAAAATAGTCGTCAAATAGTCATTAAATTTGGCGACTACTTTTACGACTACGAATATTAGTCGTAAAATAGTCGTTAATTAGCGACTATTTTTACGACTATTTATTTTAGCGACTCTCGATTTACGACTACATGAATTAGTCGCTATTTAGTCGTAACCCACCATTTAGCGACTATTTAGTGACTTTTAGTGTAGTCGCTAAAATCTAGTTTTCTTGTAGTGAATTTAGTAGACAAACCAAAAAATCTGTCAAACTATTCTTGTGGCAAATCCATTAATTGTGGCACTAACAAGTAACAACGATGACCAAACCAAAGCCCAAGCCCCAAGCAGCCAAACTACAAAGTACAAGGTAAATATTCCAATGTCTAATATAATGAGATCTTGATGAAAAAGTAAAAAGAAACTTCGATGATTTTCTTCATCTGGACAGTCATGGGAAAATTAAAGATTTAGCAAAAAAATTAATTTTTGATCAACTGCTAAAACATTTCTCTAATACAAAATATCTTTATTTGATGTGCAGAGCAGAATTATCATCATTTCTCTTCTACCTCAGCTAAAAAGAAAAAGAAAAAAGAAGACATATCTAGTAGCTAGGAGCCCGAAGGAAACATTACCGGGTGGCAAACTCATCAAACTTTTGTTTCTTTGGCTCAGGTTCATCATCCTACTCGTTAGCAAAATCTTTCTCGAGAGAAGCATGCCAATTAACCATTGACATCACCCCTCCCTCCCGCCATTCAAGCGGCTGGAAAACATCCCACTGAAGAAGACGGAAAAAACCATCCTGAATGGCTGCTGCATAAGCGTCACTCTTCCTCATCTTTTCTCCCAAATCTTTTGGGGGCGTAAATACTTTGGAATACTCGAGAAGAAACCGAAAGAAACAGTCGAAGTTGCTATCAGTTTCATTCGTGAACTCGAAGCCAGGTATTTTTCTCAATTTCAGCCAAAAACGGTTACCATACCAAGCCGCAAACTGCGCTGTGAGCTTCATAGTATTAAACTCCTTGATCTTCATCCCTTTAGGAAGACAGATTGCCATGAGACCAGGCAGACGAATGAACTGATCCTGAGGCTTAACAAGAACTTTCTCATCAGTAGCAGCAGCATCATATCCCTGATTAGCTCCATTTTGTTGATTCCTAGAACGGCATTCGGTAAGCATCTTCCGGAAAAACGCGTGATGGCGATGTGAGCTCTTCAAAAATCCGAAAGATCCTGGTTTGTTTATAAAGGAGTCCATCATCTCCCTTTCATCCTCCAACCCCTTTCTAGAAATTAGATGTGCCACCGTCTTGATAAGATATCTTCTGGAAGAAGTTGCAGGTGACTCAATGAATTCGGTATTTGTGTCATCTTGGTATTCAGTGAGCTTTTGCTTGTAGTATCCGTGTAAAGGATCTTCTGAGCTCTTCAAAAAGTTGAAGTTGATTCTTTCATCATGGGGTTTAATGTTCATGATACTCTTCTCATACTCCGACCCGTGTCTCGAAACGAAACGTGCCGCCATCTCCACGAGATTTCTCATTCTCATATCTGGAGGTGTTAGGTTTTGCACATCCTTCCTAGACATTTTGTTTTCTACAAACAAAAACACAGAAAAAAAACCAAATCAGATTCTTCGTTTAAAAAAGAAAATCAATATTTACTGGTTCCGCAACAAACTATCAAAATCTACCAGAAAAAAAAAAATTGATTACGGCACAGATAAACTCATGAGTATTTTCCATTCTGGGGAAAAAAAACAAGAAATCGGTTGGATATAATTTAGGGTTTTGGAGATAAATTCATGAATATTTTCCATGGGAAAAACAAGAAATCGATCGATCCAACGACAATTTAGGGGTTTGGAGATAAATTCATGAATAATTTCCATGGAAAAAAACAAGACATTGATAGATCCAACGACAGTTTAGGGTTTTGGAGATAAATTCATGAATAATTTCCATGGAAAAAACAAGAAATCGATCGACCCGACGAATATTTAGGGTTCTGGAGATAAATTCATGAAATAAACAAGAAATGGTAGATCCGTACCTCAGTCGGGAAGAATCAGCCCTGCCGTGACGTCGTGAAGAAGCAATATGATCCCTCCTAAGATAATAACGCTACCTAAAACTCGTCGTTACTCGTTAGTGTTCAGATTTTCCAATGGGCCTGTCTTATTTGGGCCTCTGATTTTGGTCCATGATACTGGACGCGTGAACAACCATCAATTCTCGTTTTCTCTTTTTTCATACGAAATACATTAACCATTCCATTCTGATTATGTCATTTTTTTTAAGTCTACGACGATATCGGTGGTGCCACAAAAATTAACGGATAAATTGAATCCGTCAACAGAAATATTTGTTTTTCATTATAAATACTAACATTGCTTTACTTATTTTTTTTATTTTAGTAAAAAATAATTTTAATCAAATTTTCTGTCTATCATTAATAATATATTTTAAAATTATACAAAAATAAAAAAACATTTTTGTTTTGGATAAATAAAGTTTGCATACATTTCATGCCGAAAATTATTGCTCACACAGCTAGATCATAAAATAAGGTTCTTGGCATGAAAATTTTAAAAGATTTTTAAATTTTATTAAAATAAAATTAATTATTAAACCACGGCATTATTTATAACGGAAAAACATATTTCTGTTGACGGAATCAATTTTTCTCTTAATTTATGTAATCCATGATCACAAATGTCACTTTGAAGGTTTAAATTAACAAAATGTTATTTTGATGGTTTATTGTAAGAGTTCAAAACCTTAAATATTTAAAGTGTAAGTGGTTATCACCGGTTTTTTATGATATTTTGATTTCCTAATAGAGCTTGTATGTGTGACTGGCAACTATTATTATAAGACAACTGACAAAGAACAAGACCAAAAGCCAGGGTCAAGTTTCTTTGTTTTTCCAGACGTCGAAACATCTTCACTGATAAACAAACATCTTCACTGATAAACAAACATCTTCTCAAACGATTCTAGTACATTTGCTACAACTACAGTTTCCTTACAGAAACTGATGAAACCTTGGACTTGCTTGCTGATGGGTTTGTAGATAAAGCTGAAGCTTTGAATCCTCCTCTCAACAGATTTGATGCCGATGCTGCACTTATTTTCCTTCTTTTTGCTTCCAGCTCCATTCTTTTCTTGCTCGATGATGACATCGAGTAAGACGACTCGGGAAAAATGGAAGATGCATGGATCAATGCTCGTTTGTCCTTTCGATTCTTATCAAACTTGGTCTTGAATTTCACGTTTGAGGCAGCTTTAATATCTTCTTCACTTTTTGGAAGAAGTCTTATCCCCAAGCCTAGCTTCCTTGAAGCAGCCTCTTCTTCTGCTACACGTTTTCTGTGCCCCTGGCAAATGAGAACAAAGTTAGAAGAAGGAGTCGAAAATCGGACTGCAAGCAGAGAAAAATTTGCAAACTTGGAACTAACCCTAAGTTGTGCACGCAGAGCTTTGTTTAGGGAGTAATCATCAGCATGTCTTGCATCTGAGACTCGCTGGAGCCGGACCAAAAGCGGTTCTGCTGCTTTCTTCTTCTGTAAATCTACTTCCTGGTGCTCTAGACGATAAAAGGGGTCTGCAAGCTTTCCCTTCTCTGCAAAAGTTTATCCCAAAGCATGTCAAGAATGGTCGGGCAGAAGAAATAACAAGAGTAAAAATACAAACAGCTATTGAGAGATCTATAGAGCTTCTAAGAGCAAACTCGTAGAAGAAGGTAGATACCAACCTTGCTCAGCAGTGAGCTCCATTGTTTCTGCATCTTCTGCTTCATATTCCTCAACCTTCTTCTGGGCACCACTGGTGATTACATACTCGCAGTTCTGAGGATCTGTCTGAATGACTATCTCATGTTTACAGCATGGTGATTTCATTGCAAAGCTCCATATCTGACCATGATAAGATATAAATCCTCAGCCACAGTTCCATAGCAAAGAGGATAAAGAATGCAGTGAACATGTATTTGTGAGCAGAAACAGAAATTGAAGATGTCATATTTTAGTGATCATAGAGAAAGGAGAGACTCTCAATAGTACCTTTGTAGAATAATAGTTCCCAACTTGCTTCTTTTCTGCATTAAATCGAACACCCTTGGCGATCATAGAATTGCAGCCACCACACCATATATTATAGGGCATCTCGAACCTGAACAAATAAAAGCACATATGAAAATTAAACTAAAAGAGAGTAACAAAAACAAAGCTTCTGATCGATCAACAAAATGTACACCAGGGATAGACTTTAACATGGAGACATACCAACACGCTGACAGAAAGTCAAGCCATATACACACTTAAGTTACATTTGATCATCAAAATAGGTTCTTTCATGTTATACTTAGGTTTAGCCTCATCTCTCTATTCATGTATCACAGTAGCAATCTAATGAACAACAACTAGTGTGAATCCAACCAAAAGTAGCATCTCCCTCACGATGTTACAACTTGGGAACTAGGCAGTCACTAGAATGAGCTAATATAGTATATGATTATATATATTTTACCTTATGACCAAAATTCCCTCGCCAATTTTCTTTGCCCTCTCTCTCAGAGGATGCTGTCCTTGAAACTTGTTCAAGGAACCCTGATCCGGAGTCCATTCTGGGGGATAGTAAAAGTTATCTGCCCTCGCAGCTGACAGAGTCGACTGTAATAAAAAGGGAACAAATTGAAAAGTGTTAACAAATGCAAAACCATAGAGAAAATTTCGATAACTAGCTAAAACATCGCAATTATCAAAACGAATCAAGACATCAACAGAAATTTTCAAATTACCAACGAACCATAAGATAATCGAGTGAGACAATCACGAAAGATCAAATTAATCCGAAGAAATCATTCTAAAACAAACCCTAGAACCAAATCCTAGCATCGAAAACCATAAATCTCCAAAGAGATTCATACTGAACGCAATCAAAAATACTTTTAGGGCTTCGGGGATCCATTACAACAACAAACAAACATGGTTTATCCCCAATTTACCACCTCAAGGAGCAGAAGATAAATCAAGCGATTGACAAATAGGACAAGTAATTGAATAGAAAGATGAACTTAGAAACAATAAAACGAACCATCTTGTTCAATCGAGATTGATCAAATCGATCTTCCTAATCTCCTCCTCCTCCTCCTCCTTGTCTCTGGTATTCAATCGCAAAACTCTTGGTGAAAGACTTGTAATCCCAGGTAACGAATCTTCTTCTTCTACCTCAGCAAAACGAGGCCGTATTTTCCAACGCGGTCGCGGATTTGTAACATTTAATTGGTTCACCGGCTAATTCTTTTTTTTCTGTGGTCAATGTCGGTTTTGTACTTAATTTTAATGAAGACTTTTAATTTGTCCGTGAAAAAATGCGAAGGGCGTTTAAAATTAATTCGGTGAGTAGAACGCAAACGTGAATTGTGTTAGCTCCGATCACTCCTTTTATCACAAGCGGCTCTAGTGGAGCTCCGGCCAATCTGATCTTTTGAATTTTACACCCAAAACAAAAAAAATGGTGGCTTTGGTCGCTTCTTCATGCTCAAGCCTAACTCTGAATCTCCTTCCCATCCTTCGTACGGAAGCACCTTCACTCTCCAGGAAGCGTCGAGCAGCTTCTGTGGTGGCAACATCTTCTAGAGATGATAACGATACCGTCGCTGATTCTTCTCAGAAACCCACCAAATTCGTCACATTTCTCGGCAAAGGGGGCTCCGGCAAGACCACCGCCGCTGTTTTCGCCGCTCAGGTAACACAAATAAAAAACTCATTTTTCTGATTTCTTTCTCGTTGCATTCATCAATCTTTACTCAAGTCCTGAATTTTCCTCGGCATTGAATTCTGAATCCTATAATGTTTAGAACTGAGTGTTGTATTGATCTCATCTCTGCTTAGATTGATTCTTTTGCTGTCTATAGAGATTGAATGTGTTGTTGCTAATTATTTGTCTTTAAAAAATGGCTATGCACATAGCATTACGCATTGGCTGGGCTCAGTACATGTTTAGTGGTACATAATCAAGACCCTTCTGCTGATTTCCTCCTTGGAAGCAAGATTGGGACTTCTCCTACCTTGATCAACGACAATCTCTCGGTTATTAGGCTAGAAACCACAAAAGTATGCCCCTTTTTTTTTTGGTTTTGGATCTTTGTATACTTTAAGTCTGGTTCAAGGTTTGAACTTACTTAACAATGGTTTCTGGAAACACTGCAGATGCTTCTAGAACCTCTTAAACAACTGAAGCAAGCAGATGCTCGACTTAATATGACCCAAGGGGTTCTTGAAGGGGTAGGTATGTGACACAACTTCATATCTGTCAATTTCGATTTTTAAAAAAGTATATTTTGGATTTAAAGTTCTCGTTTATTTTGGCTGTTGCTGTGTAGTAGGTGGTTGGAGAAGAGCTAGGAGTGCTTCCAGGTATGGATTCCATCTTCTCAATGCTTGAACTTGAGAGGCTTGCTGGTTTCTTTAGGCAAGCAACCCGAAAGAACCACAAGGGGGAACCTTTTAACGTTATCATTTACGATGGCGTTAGCACTGAGGAAACGCTTCGGATGATAGGTCTAAGCAGTAAAACAAGGTCTATCTCATTATGTTGTGCTTTTCTTTCTGTTTTTTTTCTGGTGCTTCTTTCCCTTTTTGCAACTCTTAGAAAGTATGTTTTTTCCAGATTGTATGTGAAATATCTGAGAAGTTTGGCCGAGAAGACAGATTTGGGGAGGCTAACAAGTCCTTCCATTATGAGATTTGTTGATGAGTCAATGAACATAAGCGGCAATAAGTCGCCTTTCGATGGTATGACAAGTCCTGCCATGTGGGATACTTTGGAACGTTTCTTGGAGGTAGCTGTTTATCCCATAACTCAGTGTCTTCAACTAATTTAGCTCCACGAAATTACATATGGACTTTTGCAAACTGTAGAACGGCGCTTCTGCTTGGAGAGATCCAGAGAGATTCAGGAGTTTTCTTGTAATGGACCCAAATAATCCTATCTCTGTTAAAGCCGCATTACGGTATTGGGGATGTACAGTACAAGCAGGATCTCATGCTTCTGGGGTGTTTGCTATTTCTTCTTCTCATCTGACAAGCAAAATCCCAGAAGAAGATTTTGTGCCGCTGCCCTTTGCATCTGCATCAGTTCCATTTACTATAACTGGTCTGGATTGGGACAAAATCCTGCGGGACCAAGCGAATTCAAGTATCCGGGAACTTCTTTCTGAAACTGCTAGCCATGGAACCAGCTTGACACAAACAGTCATGTTTGATTCAGCAAAGAAATTGGTGACTCTTTTCATGCCGGGGTTTGAAAAATCGGAAATCAAACTGTATCAGGTAAAAAAACTTCTCATCTCCCTCAAGACTCGTCAGTTCTTGTAAAGCTCCCATTTCTTCTATCTCATCCATGATTGCATAATGTGATTGCTCGGAAAGATCTTCTGTTCATATGCAATTAAGAACTGCGAATGATTTTTGGTTTTCATAATGAATCTGCAGTACAGAGGAGGTTCTGAGCTCTTAATAGAAGCCGGGGACCAAAGACGTGTGATACATTTACCTCCTCAGATTCAAGGAAAAGTTGGTGGAGCAAAGTTTCTGGACAGAAGTCTCATCATCACAATGCGGTAATACATTTTGGAAGAACTAATTTGTTCTTTTTGTACACCAGAGATGTGTAGTTTGTCCCCAAAACCAATACAAACTAAAAAGAATGAAAATTAAAAACTCAAGAAGACAAACATTTGGGACGATCTTGAGATGAATAAACGAGTTTCTCATTACCAGAATGGCTCTGATACTTTGGCAAAACAGCAGCACTTATAACGATACCACAGAGTAGAGCCAAGCCGAGCCCTAAACCATTAACAGTCATTGATTCAGAACCGCGTCTGGGGACATTCCTCTTGGTCTGAAGGAACGTCAGTTTCTCAAGCAGTCCGGTCTCAGCGGTGGCAATGGCTAAACCATAGGTATAGAGTCCGATGAATACATGCCACGGAAGAAACGTGGTTCTTGTTGTCCGTACTTCTCCTCTATGCCAGAAACTCATGAACCCAGTAACCCACTGCAACACAACGCCATTACTATCAATCGTCAAAACTATGACAACCCCCAATAAAATATTTAGGACATAGAGCAGAGGTTGAAGTGACAGTAATAAGTGGGTCGAATTAATAATTCGTTTTTATAATCGTTTAGGGGAATCTTGTCAGCTTAAGCTTCCGTAAACAAATTAGAAACTAATCCCAAGTGGGTTATACAGTTTCTTCCTTTGTCATTCTTTGCATTATTGATGGCAAACACTTTCAAAAGAGAGAGAGAAAATATAATGACAGTAACGTGTAATCCGACCTTTTGAAATAATTTAAATCTTGGAAAGAATCTAGTTCTTTTTCGATGATGCATTAAAAGTTTATCTCAGAGGCTTAATACTATAATATGGTAATAAAAATAATATTGGTTGGTGGAAATAGGAAAAAGACGAACCTGGGCAGCGAAGAGAGAAACAGAGAGTAAACCCATCCAAGAATGGAGACTGTAGAAATTGGCGAAAACTCCACGTTGGTAATGGAACTTTGTCCAAATTCCAAACACAGCAGAAGCCAATGCCACTCCTTGTAGCCATAAATGAACAGCTTTCTTCGTTTTCCTTGAACCAGGCAACCATCTGTGTATCAGAATCGCTGCAGATCAAAACCCCAAATTCTTGATGAAATATTCAAGAAGGAGAGAGGAAATCTTCAAAAGGGGCATGAAGAGGGATTATCAGTACCTTCTCCACTTACAAGAATGAAGCCAATCACCATCAGCAGAGGATGAAGAGTCTACAAAGGTAGAAAACTTTATTAGAGAGAGATCCAATTGAAAACAACGAGGAAGAGAGTGTGATAGTTACAGAGTAGCTGAGTCCTTGATTAGGGAGGAAGAGAGCCCAGTACAGAACCGAAACTGCGACTACTAAACCGGACAGTCTCGCAAAGAAGACAAGTGGTAGTCTTGAAGAATCCACACTTCCCATTCTATTATCTCTCTTCAAAGTTAAGTACTACAGTAGAGTACACTCAGAGTTGCCGACAAAATGATGTCTTGAGAAACAAAAGAGGACATTTATGTATGTATATAAAGAACTCTCTATCTCTTAATAAGGCCCATTTGATTTAAGGCTGCTGGTAGTGGGTTCAAAGTCAAAATATTGACTTTACAATTACTGACCATTGAACAGCTACAAGCTATTGAGTATTGAAATTTAAAAAAAAAAAAGCATTTCACCAAAGTCTACAAAAGTTGAAAATAACACTGAATATAAGAAGAACGACGCTATTACCATGTCTTAAAAACAAGGATCCGAAATCAAATTGATACACTCGAAAACCACACAAGGGGGGTTCTATAACAGAAAACATTACATGAGACTCGGTTTTTGTTTTATTGCCACATACCAAAAGCACTCAAAGCATGAGCTCCCATTGGATTTTGAGTTTTTAGAGCAGAACGTTTTAGGAAGGACGATTTGATACGCCTCTCCCCTGGCCACGTCCACCATACCCATAGCCACCACCGCCTCGGCCACCATAACCGCCATACCCACGCCCGCCATAACCGCCACGTGAATAACCGTTTCGACCATAACCACCACGCCCTCCTCGACCTCCTCTGAATCTAGAGAACTCACCAAATGTCTGAAATCAAAGCAATACCTTTTGTTAGTCAACAGGTTTCTCTTAAGATTCTAGGAAATTGAGCATCTCCAGTAACGAGAGGGGACAATATAAGCACAGTCTGCTATTCAGAGAGTGGAAATATATATATATTACCTCAGTATCTAGTTTCCGTTGCTCTGAGAACCTAGGCCTTGCATTTTGGGACTCTCGGTCAATGGTGTTTGATGAGAGGCTATCGAAAAAGTCATCTTTGTTGTAAACAGGCTACATCAATAAACAATGTGTATGAGACCAGAGAGGGAGAATATGGTGGTGGCTTTACATGATTATAAGTCTACTTCACTTACTTTGACCTCGATCTTAGGAAGCTCAGCCTCATCTACAATCGGGGAATCATCATCTTCATCACCATCTAATGTGGTACTCTTCCCAAGATGACCCCATACTTCATCCTTATTGAACTTTTCGTTCATTGCTGTGAAATCAAAATCTTCAGTGAACTTCATTACCTGGTGTGATCTCTGCCAACAAGAAGAATTATTAGCATTCATGGCTTAGTTCATGAGCTATTTTTAAACTAGTAGATCTTTTCCTTGGTATAAACAAATAAATGCCTCGTCACATTCTACAAATGAGTGAGAAGAATAGTACCCCTGCTCCTCTTCCTCTTCCTCTTCCACGTCCCCTGTAACCATTATGATTTGGGAAAGAATGCCCGTTTGGCTGAGAAAAAAAATCAGTAAATGAATTCAATTTATTATCACCATGAAGAGTTATAGGCAGACATGCAAAGAAAAACTCTTATACACTAAGAAACCCAGAGAGATTTTCATGCATCTTTGACAAAAAAAAGAGGCATAGCATGGAAGACTAAAACGACTAATTTAGACATCAGCAAATGCAAGATCATTTCACTAGTCCTCAAAAACTCTTAATCTAGAATTCAAGGTTCTTTGTTATATCAATAAGAGAGGTACTAAAATCGTTGGAGGATTTGGCAATTTATGTTAGTTAAAAACCTTCTGAGTAGGCCTTGCAGAGGAAGGCAATGGCAGTATTGGAGGTTGAGCTTCAGATGTAACTGGAACAGATTGTTCCAACCCAGCTGATGATGATACTTGAACTACCTCGACATCTTTATCCGCATTTGTAGAGGGTGGGGACAAAGAGACTGCAGAAGATCCAGACTGGAGCAGTTGGCCAGGAGTAACCAACAAAGGTTTTGGCTTATCTTGGCTAATGGAACTAGAAACTCCCGCAACAGGAGCAGATGTCAATGGTGTTGTCTGCGGCAGAGAAATTGGACCAGTAACTACACTAGGCTTGTTAGACAGTGAAATGGCAGCACTTGCTTCTGTGGCTCTCGTAGTAGATAGAGAAAAGGGAAGCAAATTAGTATCCTGAGGTAGGGTAGGAGGCGCAGTAATAGGAGCTTTGTTTGACAGCAAAGGAGGTGCCATCTCTGAAGCTAGTGAAGGAGATGGTGCTGATTGCAGTGTAGATTGCAGGCTAGACGACAACGTCACAGGTGGTAGACCAGGGAAAGGCAATGAACTAGGTGCTAGGATTTGAGAGCTAGTACTAAAAGGAAACAATGAAGAGGGTGCTTCTGGCAAGCTTGAACCCTGCAAATTTGATGAACCAGTAGGTGGAGGGGTATTAAAGTTAGGATATTGCATGGGTTGCTGAAGAGAATTGGGCATTGGCAGCCCATGAGGGGGTCGAATCAGAGACTGTTGATGCAATTGGGGAAGGCCATTGGGAGGTGGGGTGTAAAAACCTTGCCAATACATTGGTGGTTGTGGTGAAGCTCCCCACGAACCAAGATTTCCACCAGGCTGATACAAAGGCATCGCGTTTTGAAATCCCATCCCAGGTTGTCCATTATGAGAACTAATGTCAGGCAGTGACCCGCTCGCAGTAGAAGGCAAGCTACCAGATGTTGGCATCGGGCTAGGGTAGTGGGACTGCAAAACAAACAAAAAAAGTGGAGGATGAGGATACATCAACTGACTCTAAATCACAGACAATATTATCCTACAACTTTTCTAACAATCACCTGAATTATAGCAGGGTCATTATTTATAGTAGGTGGAGGAGGCTGGACTGGTGGAGAAGCTTTGACTTGCAAATCCTGCCAACAACAAGAACAATTAGAGTCCAAAATGGGCAGGGTGACGACACTGATTACATTAGTATAATCCTGCTGGGTACCTTGATATCAGTTCCACGGAACAATATGTACTCATAAACTTTGTCACTAGGAGGAACTTGCGGACCATCTTTTTTCCTTCCTTCAGTTCCAAATGATCGAACTACACACAAGAAATTCCAGGGATCAGAACATATCAATCTCACAAAAATCTACCCCATCGACCACTAAGACTGATCTTTTTATGCTCAAAAAATAGTTTCAAGACATCAATTACAATATGATGAGTCAAGCAATAGACATGAACAGTTAATTTTAATGAATTCCAAGCACTAAAACAATATATATATCTTTCAAATCGAGCTAAACAGTTCAATATTAGAGAAAAAATTCACAAGAATTAACAAAAGAAACCATGAGTTTCGACCAAATCAGAAAGAAATAACACTACAAATCTAAATTATCCACAAACGGAAGTGGAAGCGTACCGTTTTGAAGTCCGATACTGGATTCATCTGTATTAATATTGTAAAGGATCCCTTCGTATCTGATCTCGCTCTTAGACGTCAAACTAATCAAGCTCCCAACGTAAGAATCCGCAGCGGAGCTCGATTTCGCACCCGTATTATCAGCCGCCATATCCGATCTATATCTCTCTTCGCCGACGAAATCACAGCCAAAGAGAGAAAAAAACTAAAAGTCAAGAGAAGGCAAACACACTCACACTTCGAGTTCCTTGATCTCCTTCTTCTTCTTCTTCGCGAGAGAGAGAGAGAGAGAAAGCTACAGAAACAATTAGGGTTTACTCTAATTTGGGGAGATCGAGCATCTCTTTTTTATTATCCATTCCTGTAAAAGCCCAATTCAGAAAAAAAAAAAAGAAATCTATCTGACCATTATAGCCTAGTGTAGTTCCATTGACTTCGATCTAATCACTAATCGTAGACTGCCACGTGTCTAAGTGCAG